GGCAGAAATCATGTTCATGGATGAGCTAATGTATTAAAGATTTATTAACATCGTAGTATGAAGCAGAGTTAGGCGGAAAGCCATCGAAGCGAAACGAGGCCGCTGAACGAGCGTGACACATGGCTCAAAAGCAGCGGAGCTTTTATTATGCCACAGTCGACCGCTTCCACTCCTTCCGGTCGTGCGTATGTGGGGAAAAAAGACAGCTCTGTTTTATCATACTAGATACATTTGAAAGTTCTGTTATAATGCTACTCTGTGCGGTCGTCACTGGTCTATTAAAACGCACAACATATTAAAGCGTCTTTGGTGTTTCCATGTTTTCTACAAAACAAAACCGGAAATCGAGGGTGTATGACGTCATTGGCAGGCGACACAATGACACTATGGACACGCTCCGTGTCACTAGTTAAAATCGCTTATTTCTCTGGATTTAAACATTCTTCTAAACATTTGGGATAATGTAAGTACACAAGTCAGCAAAATATATAACACTGTTCTAGTGGTTTTTGGATATTTTAATAAAAAAATCTTACATATTGTGCCTTTAACCCATTTACATTTTTTCTTGTTTTAATCATAAACTAATTTTTTGAGTTTTGACTCATTTTTAGACAAGTAAAGTAAATATATCTTGATTTAACAATTTTTAGATATTTGTAATGGAAAACAAGACAAAAATACTAAGAAAGAAATTCAAATTTTAGCAGTGTGTTATTAGTTTTCAGTGAACTCAAGTAGAATTTTTACGCAAAAAGGAGGAAAAAAAAACACCAAAAATGCTTGAAACCACCGTTTCAAACTTAAAAAATGTACTCCACATAATGTGTTTTCATAGTCACATTGCATTTTGTTCTTTTTGATGTATGTGCATGCTTCAAGTATTCCTATCAGGATTCCCATCAAGGAATAGGCTAGTTCACCCAAAATTGAAATGTTTTCTCAACACTGCATGGTTTTCTATTTTCCATAGGCGTAATTTTAGTGATTATCAATGACCAATGCTTGCTGATTGCAATCAATTATGTCATAAACTCAATAAAGTCATAAATATTTTTGAATCT